AATGGACCGAGGAAATTTTAGTGACTTATACTGTTTAAATAATAACTTGCTAGCCAACTCCAGACAAATTGACAAAATCGGTAAATTTGAACTCACTAGAATCGTTAATGCCTTAATTATATTCAATATTATTTGCAGTTTTATTTATTCGTTGGATGGCAGATGAACAAATCATTATAGATATTTGTTGAAAAGGTATACAATTCACATTAAAACTATTACAAATTCTAAATGGCACCTTATTTTTCTGTATATACCTTTGAACTGTTTCGCGGTTGGATTATTATCGATATGATAAACAATTCAAGGTGATCTTGGCTGAATTTGTACATTGAAAGATTGATACATTGGCGCCCAGTCGCCATCTTGAAAGTTTCATCTGTCAATTTCACTTCAAAATAAAGTATTCATGCATTAATTCAATTATCTCAAATTTCCATTTTTTTTAGCTGACTCGTTCAAAAAATAAAAGAGGGGGAACATTAAAGAAATGCACTGTATATACGTTGAAACAATATATTCTACATATGATGAAGCGACTCGGTCGCTATTCATAGAACGACGAAAATGTAAGGTATAGCCATCAACATATGAATAGAGTGGAATACATAAACAATGTGACACAAATTTGGATGGTTATTAGGTATCAAAACATGTATAACGATTGGTAAAACACATATAAAAACACTAACATACCGTAGATTTTAGTTTTAGTACTCTCCTGATGATGATTTCCTGGTTAACGAAACGCGCGTCGGGGGACAGTATTTTTCTTCTGGTGTGGGAGAAGTGTTTTCAATAGATTTATTTGCGCCAAAGGCTTCAATTATTCATATCGAGATTTTTGTTGATGTATTTTAAATATTGGTAACTGATATCAAATCTGTATTTTAAATATTGGGAACTGATATCAAATATCAGTTCCCAATATTTAAATCCACGAATCTGCGCAAAATATGAAATTTCCTTCAAACTTTAGTTTCATGTAAAATTAATTTTTGAGAAAATAAAATTCTGTACTGAAGAATATTTTGTTGATACAAATACTGAATTTATTATTATAACAAAAAAGTTATTTAAGCATGGTTTCAAAGTTAATTGCATTTAATAGAAACCAATTTATAACTTCAAGCGAACACAGTCGATACTATTCTGTAACTTTTCATGACTTCGAACGTAAACATACGTTCTTTGCACTATTATTAAAACATACTAAAAAAGAACACTGAACCATTTTCATCTCAAAAACTGAACGTTAAATGACTTCACCATGAGTTTACCATACCTCAGTCGTCATTCGACGCTTTGAGTCTTTATTCCCTTGGTTTTTAAATCCATGACTGTGGTACTACTCGTATATGAGAACTGAACCTAGAAATGTGGAGAGTATAGATTTTTTCTTTAATAAATGTATAATTGAATAGAACTGGCCGATACTTGATGAAAATCCATTTAAAAAACAAATTAATACAGTTTATTGTATTATTTTCACAATAAAGGGTTTTACAAAAATTACGACACGTGTTTCGCTATACAATGGCTTCCTCAAGCAAGTTTATGCTTGAGGAAGCTATTGTGTCTCGTGTCGCGGTTTTTGTAAAACCCTTGATAGTGAAAATCATGCAATAAACTGTATTAATTAGTTTTTCAATAAATGTATGTATAAATAACCTTGAAGATATCGATAGAGATTCAGTAAAAAATATATATTTTGGAATTACTTGAATTCAATATAGACAATGGAGTATATCTGTATGTTTTGAATGAAATTCATTATAATATCCTATTAGAAATCATTAAAAAAATCTATCTATGCTACTATCAGTATTACCATCTGACCTGAAAGACCACTAATCATACAAACATATCGGCTTCGTGAAGAAGCTGGATTTATTTGGTCGAGTGTGAATAGGGGTGAGCCACAATAAACCTTTGCGAGTCACTGTGGTGGGTCGACTTTTGACCCAACAACCTAACCTAACTATCAGTATCCCAGTTTTTGTTTTTTGAATCAGATATCCAATTTATTTTTTAATCGAAGCAATTATAAAATTATCCATGATAAATAATGTTAACTCAGATACAGCTCATCGTTTCAGTGTTTGTAACATAATTTACAAACACAAGCAGAGAAATTGCGTCTATGTCGTTTGCATATATACACATTTTCTTAAGTAACATGCTGCTTCAGAGAGGCTAAGACAAGTTCTTTTGGATTCATATCCTGGTGATAAAGTGGTAGTCTGGAAACATTATGTCCATCGTGATTTTATTAATTTCCAATATTTCGAATTTTGGTTTATTCATTCAGATTATGTAAGGAATATTGTGTTTTCAAAACCATTCTTTCATTATTTTTTTTCTTCTGCCAAAGGTGGAGCATTTTTTGCTTTCTACTTCAAGTTGCATCGTCTATTACCAGGACATTTCTTCTTGGCAATTTAGGGTAAAGCTTTTCCTGTAGCCATTTTACAATAAATACTCTCAATGTCTGTCCCAATTTCTGTTTGAAATTTGAACATCAAACAGGCCTTTGGAACAAAACCGTTTTCCCTGCCAGCATTAAAGGTAATATGCTTTTTTGCTTCAGTATCATAAGTTTTTTCATGAGAACATGTTGAATGGATATGTTCCATCCAATTGATTGATTGATCGATTTTATTCACGATATATATGCCCTTTTCTGTTGAAGATCATGTTTCTCTATTAAAACTTCATGTTTTTTTTTTATGAAAACCCTATTTTATGCATAACTTTTCGTAAACTATGTGAAGAACGAGAGTAATTATTATCCTTGTGTGAAATATAGGTGCAGATTGCAGACAACCAACAAGGATTTCTAAGCAAGAAATTGACAACAACAGCACTCTACTCCTACTATCACAAATTAATGGATCACACTGAGGCAGGCGAATGCCCCGTTAAAATTTTTTGTGATCTCAGCAGAACATTTGACTTCGACACATTTCCTTCGAATAAACTATACCTCTATGGTGTGAGGGTACTTAAAAAACGATTTGGGTGTCCACAAGGTTCAGTACTTGGCCCTTTGCTATTCATAATTTACATCAACGACATTGACAAGTTCCTTGTACCCGCATCTTTCACTATGTACGCAGATGACACCTTACTTATAATTTCCAACAATTTCTTGGCGAGCCTTCTTTTTCTAAACATTAATGAAACAAAATGCCTTAGATTTCATAGCCTTCAGAGAACCTGTGAAAATATATCATTTGGTTCTTCTTTAAATTCCAATTATGTGACAAGAACGAAGTTTGTGGTTTTAAATGTCGTTGAACATCTCAATTGGAAGTCTTACTGCGAGGATATTGTTTCCAAACTTCACACAGTAGCCTATCAATTTAGAAATATAAAAGAAATTTTGAATCCTGATCAGTTCTTGCAGCTCTATTATGCGCAAGTAAAAAGTAGACTACGATATGGTGTGACCATTTGGGGAGCTTTATCGACTTGTGTTTTTATAGCACAAAAACGTATTATTCGTTAATTTATGAGTTTGAGCCCTCGAACCTCCTGCAGAAACGTATTCAAAGACCTGGAAAAAAGATACATTTCCCCAGATTGATTCTGAACATGAGTATAATACTAGACACGAAAATAACTTCAGTGTTCCTTTGAAAAAATTCAGAATAACTTGAAATGCCCCAAATTTCAGGGCTCAAAAAGTATTCAATTCGATTCCAGAAAACATAAAAAATAGCAGTTCAATATTTATTTTCAAACGGAAACTACAAGATTTTCTAGTGGAAAATTGCATTTACTCCTCAAAACAGTTTTTTAATATCACTTCTCAGGGATCTTTTTTTCTTTCTAAGTACTTTTGCTTTTAATTATCTGTTATTTATAATTAGTTTTATGTTTTTGTAATGTCAGTAGGAATGTGCCTGGACTATAATACTGTATAAAAAGTTATCTGTGACGTCCTTGGACAGGGCTCTGTGATTTGGTATTTATTAAAATTGGAAAATATAGTTATTGAATGAACCTTGAAGGTGTTTCATTTAGATGGATGACAGATATTACAGTTTTGATGAGATGTTTGACATTCTTTTGTTGATGGGACATTTATTTTGTATCAAAACCTTTGTTTGACTTTTTCCACACAGCCTGTACTGTATTCAGGAAATAAAATCGTATTTTATTCTAGTCTATTCTACATAACTTACTTTTGTTGACAGGGCGTCTGTCTTTGTGTTGTAACACTATGCTTCCTGGCAGTGTTCTCAAGCAACACCAGCAAATATACGAGGTATTTTTTAATTTCAATTGCCTTAACGATAATTTACTATTAACAAAATATATACAAGACTTGCTAAAACTGAACAATCCCCTTTTAACGTTCTTTGGATGGTATGTAAAGTAGGCACTTCTTGTTGGTTATTGTATAATTATGTAATGTCGAAAAATACCTTCTTCAAAGTCATATAAAACTATTCTTGGATCGTCTTTTTCGAAAACTTGAAAATGCCTTTTCTATTTAGTCTCATGTCACTGACAACTTCTTAGAAGATTTACGTTGGTGGATTGCACTGCTCGTTCTAAAACTTTGTTTGAACATTTAATTATCATTTCAGCCCAAAACAAGTTTTGAGTTACTCATGGAGTATTCAGTTATTTGAGAAAAGAAATCATCCAGCTTCTCAATCAACAGAAATATTGATACTTTTTCAGAATTGTTTCTAAAAATCTCTGTGCATGATTTACATTTTCTACTTCTTCCCATTGGAAGTTATCTCACACTACATACATCAATTGAGTTCGAAAAACTAAGAACTATTCATTCCTAAAACTACTTTCTTTCAGTAACTGAAAGAAAGTAGTTTTAGGTGAAAATTCCTTCTCAGGTTTTTTCGAAAACTAGAAATAATTGCACTAGAAAAATGTTCAAAACTTTTTATTTCTACTAACATTACAACTTGTACAAAAATAAATAATAGAATAATCATATTTTACATAAAGAATAATTGTAAGCAATGTCAATGAAAATTAATGAATACTTCTACGTCATTACTGAAAAACAATTACTCAACAAATTACCATATTCATATTTCACTGGAGAACCTTGATTAGGAATCACCCCAAAATATTTTGCAACGCGGGTCAGTAAGGAGGTGATGATCATACCATTACTCAGGGGTGTACATAGCGATGATAAAATCTTGACACAGTTCCCACAGACGACAGTTTCGTCAAAGTATGAGGTTCGTATAAGTCCCCAAAAGGTATCATATAACAGTTGTATTGCAAAGTGGGCAACGATTCTCAAGATCCAGCCAATTTTTCAGACAAATTCCATGAAAAATGTGCCCGCATTTAGTTACTTTGGCGGACAACATCTTCTGATAACAAATGGCACAGACATCATCCAATTCTCGCAACTGGTGACTAGAAGCTCCTGACAAACCTTTTAATTTATAGACCAATGTCTGACGTTTTCTGAAATCAGAGCGGATTTCTTGATATTTAAACCATAAGTTGATATAGACATGGTGAAATAGCCTAACAATTCCAATTACGCTGAACATTTCGAAAAAGAGAATGAAAGCTCTATTGAAAAATAAGAAAATTCCTATGCAAAATTCAAAAATTTTGTCGAAAGTTATTACATAATAAATATAGTCCTCAATGTGTTCCCAGAAAGATTGCCTCTTTTCACTGAGTATCAAAAGAGTGTATAATGTTAAAGACACCCAAAATTTAATGATTGCGATGGAGCAGACCGCAGTTACATCTAAAAGGAATGTACCGATTTCTTGAGTTCTCCAGATAAAATATACGAACATGAAATCCAATGAAAGAACAATTCCGCTAACCGATAAGGGGCCTACGTGTTTCATGAGATTATCAGAATGACTCATTAATGAAGGATGAACCATCAGATATATGGAACCATGGAGAGATGCATAGAGATAACATACATCTCTCAACAATATCACAATTCTCATCTCAGGTTCGGAAAATATTATTCCATACTGGAGGGCTAAAAAAAAGAATTTTACAAATGCGATGAACTTAATATTTCTGGTATGATCTGTGTCATTTACTAAGATCCACTGTACACATTTTTCAATGTACTTGCAGATGCAGGCAACATAAGAAATTTTCAACCTTCTCAACCATAACAATTGAGAATCTAACATTCTAATGCTAAGAAAATTCAATCCAAAATACCAAACTGCAGGAACAAGGTATACAAGACATTTCATCAGTGATAAATGTAAGAGAACCACCAAAATTGAAGCGCAATTCAGCAAAAATGCCGGTGTTGAAAAAGTTAATCCCAGTGGTATGAGAAAAGTCAACGGAAGTAGTTTTTTCATAACTGGGTTTTTTGGTGTGGAGTAAATGTTAATAAGAATTACCAGTAAAACTGCTTGTGAAAAGTAGGTACGCTTAAGATTTACGATGTATACTTTAGGCGCAAATGGTTCTTCAAAATTCTGAGAAACTGTATCATTTAGAAGATACCCACTGACGCCACTTCCCCTAATCGATTCCGTCCATTGGGTTAGGATTAACATAACGGTTAAGGTGCAAGCAGCTATCAGATGGTGGATGCTGCGGTTGTATACAAATAATGCTAGGCAACCTGAAATGAAATGATACATTAGAGAAAACTATGTAGATTATTCTAGGATTGTATCGCAAGTGCACGAGCCTAATCATTTTGAATGCATATTAATTTATTTGTAGTTTCTTATAACATATAAATACAATAATTATTAATATTTATAAAACAACAAATGAGGCTAGAAACAACATGTACCATTTGGGTACAGTTAGTCTTAGTTCTAGCCTTAAGAAAAGAAGAAAGAGATAGAAAACATGTTGATTGTTCATACTGAAAATTTTATAGAAGTATGAAATCTATGAAATCAATCACTTTCTTCTTTTTTTTTGAAAAGTAGGCACTTTTTATTAAAACAACGATAAAAATAAAATAAAAACAACAATAAAAATTAATTGGCCCTCCGGGGCGACTTCATTGATTCCAGTGGCGCATTTTCTTTTTCAGCTGCAGGAAAACCCGGAAAAACCTGCAGCACCACATCATCTGAAGATCTTGATCTAACAATGTCCTCTCTTTTATAAAACAAAATGTAGGGTGTCTCCAGAGGCTCCAATAAATTCAATGCATCGCCAGAACACTTCGTGACACGACTATCGTCAAACTTATACCAGTCCGTTTCGTCTTTGAGCAGGGCGTAATAATGACCAAATTCAACGCCAGAACCACAGTGAACAATGACTCCATGAATATTATAATAGTGGTCTGCTAGGTTGAAATGTTCATCATCTATTTCGAACCTTCCAAAGAGTTTCTTGCTTCCGTAAGAGGTTGAGTCTTGTTTAAAAATCATCAGTGTTATTATTAGATTGACTGGTGCCTCAGATATACTTGTTTCCTTATAACAGTCAGTTAGTTTGGCGCATGTTTGACAATACAGTCGATCATCACCAACAATGAGATATTTTTTGTGACAGCATTTGAATAACAAAAATTTACTGAAGGATCGACGATATAAAGTGGTTCGATGGGGAAAAGTGACTCTTTAAACCTCAAATCTGAAGAAGTACTAAATCTTATTTTGTTATACAAATATGATGGACATTTGTTTATTAATATTTGACGGAAGGGGGTAGCCAAGTGTAAAACACGTATATTTTTCATAGTTAATATGAACGAGTTTATATGAAATTCTGTCATATTTTTTAATAATATATACATATACCTACCTAAGATATGATTTTTGAACTCTTAATTCCACAAATGTCATTTTACCCAAACATGAATCATACACATCAGAATATGCAAAATGACTCAGCACAAGAGTATTTGTTAATGCTATTTTCAAACTTGTCGATAATAAATGACGATGAGGATCCAGCGTTTTCAAACTCATGTAACTTCTCTGTACACATTCTTTGACATCTTTCCACCAAGCTGCGATTAGTACCACTCATGAGCTTCAGATGCTAAAATAAGACGAGCTAGATCTTCATTTGATTTTAGATTGGCAGTAGCAACGTTATTAGGGTGAAATGATATATAAAGTTTTGAGTCATCCGCATCATATGTGAACTACAACGTCTTAAAACAAAAATTAGATCACAAGTGTATACGCAAAATAATAAGGACCCAAGTACCGATCTCTGAGGCACCGAGTTTAACCAATTCTCTGCTCGATTTTCCCTTCGAAGTGTCTACAAATTGTGAACGATCTGAGATAGCTTTTTATCAAATTCGTAGCAGGTTCAGAGAACCCGATAAAGTTTAAAATGGCGAATGAAATAAAAATAACTAATGGCATCAAAAGCCTTGAAGTAGTCTACAAGTATTAAATCAGTCGTGTTACCTCTGTCAACAGCTTCAAGAATATCTGTTTAAAAATCTGATTAAAATCTGTTTTTCCGTTGATCAGCTGTCGCCCCCATACGAACGACAACTCTCAGAAGTTGAGAAACTTGTGCGAGCTAAGGACTAACGAGGTCTTACCTATTAACGTGTGATTCTGCAACACGGTTGCAGAATCATCCCAGCTTCAACCAGATAAATTATCTCGAGAAAAATATCTGGTCGAGGCAGGAATCGAACCCACGGTCTTCGATCGTGAGTCGGACGCACTACCACCGCGGCCAATCATCAGTTATTTTCAAGAGAACAGTTGTACGGCTGTGGTCTTTACGGAATTGTGACTGGTTGATTGGTGAAATAATAAAAGAATGTAAATAACATTTGATTTGAAAATTCATAATTTTTTCAAATACCTTTGAACACGAAGATAGTAAGATACTGGGGCGCAAATCGTATTTGGATTTAGATATTTTAGGAAGAGCCAATACCGTAGACATATTTCACATTTCAGGAAATAATTGTAAACATGAGTTCGTAATATCAGTAAGACATGGTAATATTAGAGGACATCACAGAAATAGCATATCAAAATTATTTTAAAATCCAAGCTTAATATTTATATTGAATATACTATGTACCTACTCATGTTATTTTTTATGTGTTCAACAGGTCTCATAATTTTTATACATTGAAGGCGAAGGCAGATAATAGAATAAGCTGATAAAAAATCAGTTTTTGTATACATTCTTTTTGGCCGTGCATTTTTTTTAACAAAAAACTAACACTACAGGAAAATCCCAAAGATGCTCTAAGAGCGGTGCCTGTGCGAAAATAGCGATTCAGATTGGATTTGAATCGCTGGAGATTTATCCATTAGTAAAAACGTTCTTAGGAAGTTCATTCCACTCGAGCGCACTTCTCCAAATGGAAGAGTTCTTAAACAGTGAAGTGCGAGGTGTACTGAGTTGAACCTCAAAAAAATGAGCAGCCACAGTCAAATGTGCCAAGTCACTTGAACACCTTTCGTGAAAGAATATATAGAATAGAGACAAATCTCGGACCTTTCTTCGATGTTCCAGACTATCAAGGTTGCAAGTTATGTTGGCGTCTCCAATCAGGCAGATGGCTCTTTTCTGGATGGAATCTAGCACCTTCAGGGTATGCTCAGGAATGGAGCTCCATACATGGAAGGTCTGATCTGAGCTTTATAAAGCATCAAATGTGAGGTGTGTACATTTTTGTGGTTCGGAATAGTGTTCCACGCTTTTGTGAAGAGGCTTCTGCAATTCCAGCGGTATGATTGTGCCTAGACATATTGATGTCCATTTTAACCCCCAACAAAGGTATCTAACTAGAAATGGAAATTGTCTGACCTAACGTTATTATATCCGGTTCGGAGACATTTGTCTTTTTTGAGAAAACTGATGCCTGGGTTTTTGTGGCAATGAATTGCACCTGGTTACTTTCACCTAAAGTAAAAACATTATGTGTCTGTTTCTGTGCTACAAAATTTCATAATTTTTTTCAACGTCAATGTGGTTTAATACTTAATACCATTGATTTTACTGATGAATTTCAGTCGTACTTGTGATAATAATCCTCAATTCAAAATATGATTATTAGGTCGCTAAAAATACATATTTATTAATTCCTTGTAATAATTCATAGAACCAAATAATTTTCAAGTACATCAGATAACTTTGAGAAATTTTGTTTCTGATGTTGGTTCCCATCGTTCCAAAAAAATAGAGTGTTATCTAACTTATATAATGAGAATTGTTTCAACAAAAATAGTTGTGAAAAAAACTTGACAAATATATATAAAAAATTATACTGACCTAGTGCAATGACCATCAACCGCAATACTTGTACGAGGAATATCTTATACAGTAGTTCTTCGTGTAATATGCTGGGAGTTATGAGATTATGAAAATAATTTTTGATTTCTGCTGTGGACACTCCAATTTTCAAAATCTCGTCGATGACAAAAACAGCGGTACTCTCAACATTACTACCTCAAGTTCACTAATTCTTCTTTGGAAAGCCATTTTCTCTTGATTAACATATATGTACCTTCGATGAAGTTTCTCTAAAGAATAAATGTTACATTTGCCGAATGTGAATTATATAAATCCAATGAGAATACTGAAATGTTGACAACTCAGTGTTACCACTATTAAGGATTACAAGAAAAAAGAAGAAGAAAACATTTCATTTATTCGAATGTGGTTCATTCATTCGAATGCGGTTAATAATGTTATCTTTGAGAAGAAAAAGAACAAGTGAATGAAATATTGAATATTGAATGGTGAAGTATATACGCTGTTCACATTAAGAAGAGAATGACGTCATTTTTCGTAATTTTGTATGTCCCACTGAAATGCCTTCAACAGCAGTGAAACTGCTGTAAGTTGCTCAACTGATAGTAAAATTTCAGATGTCAGTCTTTCTTTTCTTTTCAGAACTTATGATTTCTTTTGATAAGACCTGCTTATAATCAATATGCCTAAAGCATTGTCGAAGTAGTCCCAACAAATACTAAAAGTAAGTAAGTATAACAGCAATAAAACATATCAACAGTACAAAAAAGTTTGAAAGTTTGAAATAGGGCACATGTTGGCAACGCCGTAACTTGTCATCTTGTGACGTCATTCTCTTCTTAACGTGAATAACCTATATGAATGCTAATGATATGAATTATTGAATGTGCTGAACAAAAAGTGAAAAATCAATAATGTACAAATCTTATATAAATTACAGGAAAATGATGATAATACAATAATGATAATTTCCTCATTCTTACATTCTTGCATATCACAAATGATGAAAATATAATTTGACTGAAGACAAAATATAATACATCATAAATAATGCATAGGATAATACATGAAACTTACATGGTAAATGTATGACTATACGTTTAGATAAATAACTGTTAATATGCCAAAAGCAGGTCAATAAAAAATTAATATTTACTCATTGAGGCGCAAAATTGATGACCTCAAGTACTTGAATCATTTGAGAGGCTGAAAAGAAAAACGTCAAAAATGCGATAGAATCAATATTATTGCCGAAATCTGTGTCAATTTCTAAAATCTGCTGTACAAACTTTCCAATGTTATTGCAAATGCCGAAAACTATGGTTCATATTTCTGAACAAAATCACAATTCTCATCTTAGGTTCAAAAATTGACGGTTGATAAGAAGAAGTTTGTAAATGCGATAAGCTCAAAATATTTGACATAATCTGACATTTTCCAAGATACACTGTTCAAATTTTCCAATGTACATGTAGATGCGGCAATAGAGGTTCCACATCCCTTGGTCGAAACATATTACGGAAATGTCAGGTACGCTGAATTTTAATGTTTTTCATCCCATTGACCAGACAAGTAGAAAACATTCAGTTTCAATACAGAGAGTGCTCAATAATTTCCAACCTTCAGCAAAAATTCCGATGTTGAACCCGATGGTATGAGAAAATTAAAAGGAAATAGTTTTTTCAGAACTGGTTTCTTTGGTGTGGATTACACGTTCATCATTACTTGCAGGAGGTAGTTACGCTTGAAATTTACGATGTATACTTTAGGCGCTAACAGTTCTCCAAACTCCTAAGAAACTGTCTCGTGTAGAAGGTTGTTGGACCGACTACATATCACCAATTTTTATATTCGTTTCCGTCCACTGGATTATGAATAACACATTCATTAAGGTGCAGGCAGCTATCAGGTGGTGAATGTGGTTGTACACAAATAATGGTAGAAGACTTGAAATGAAATAATATTTCCTTTCATAAAAAGAATAATTAGATAATGCAAGGTTTATATTTCAAGCGAATAAATTTGATTTTTTACGAATTCATCATTTTCCAAATTTTTCTAAGAAAATAACTTGAGTATATGATTATTTGATAAAATTCCAATACAGTTCACTGAATTATTATACAGAAAAGTATTGTCATAGAAGGAAAATTTTAAAAATTCTGATAGATTGAGCTTATGTACGAGGGATATATCATTTTCAGTGAAAGAAAAAGATAATATGAAATGATGAAACCTAATTTAGGATTTTTGGTACTTACATTGAATATGAAGGCCTACATATGTTCCTTTTAATCGGTTAAACATTCCTATTTTTTTTATTGAGAACATAGTCGCATCCACCTGAAAGGTGATTAGCGACAGATCAGTACAATACTATCAAATAATAAATACTAAAACAGTAAATGTGTACACATATTTAAATTTTGTTCAATAAGTCTATGTATTCAAGATAACCAATCAGATTTCTTGAGGGGAATTCTGTTCCGAGGAGAACTCTATTGTCAATCGGGAACTGATGATTAGATCGTTGAACATTGTATTTAAGGCATTCAATTAAAATGTGGTTTACACTCTGAACTGCATCACAATCGTCGCATCTAGGTGGCTCACTATTCGTCAGAAGGTAGCCGTGTGTAAATCTTCTGTGACCAAGACGGAAGCGCGTGAGAGTAACTTGTGCTTTCCTGCTCTTACAAGTTGGTTGCCAACCCAAGATATTGTTTTTAATGTTACGCAATTTTGATCGCGAATTTAACCACTCTTGATTCCACAAACATGACAATTTATTTTTGAAAAAGACTTTCAAATTCTCGGTACACTGCGAGATACTACTTCTGATTCAGCACTAACTACCGCGTTTCGCGCACATTGGTCTGCTTTTTCATTTCCGTCTATCCCGTTGTGAGAAGGGATCCACATAATGCTGATCTTCCGGGAGTTCTTTTTGGTTTCAACAGTTCTGATTTCATCATGTTGGCAATAGGATTGATAGGATAAATTTGCTGTGATATTTCTACTGAACTAAAGGAGTCTGTGAGGATTAGGCCTAATAAACATTCCTATTGCAATTTTTTAAACGCTGCCTAGTCTTCCACTGCCTCATTATTTTTGGGGATTGATGGTGATAATCACAGATATTACTTTTAGAAAAAAAAAAATTGGATCGATTTTCAAAGCGATATGAATGTGTTTTCGAGTGCTGGACTTCCACGAAAGAAAATACTCTTTGTTAGATGAAAAAACAAATATTTTGAAAGAAACATTTTCATATATTGAAATTACATTATTCTAAATACATTGTTGAATACCAATGCAAAATCACCATGGACGCAAAAAAATAAATCAGATGTTGCAAATGACGAATTCTTGAAAATAGCCTTATCTTTTACTCATGGACTTATTTCAATCAAAAATATTGAAACGAATCTTTCAAAATATAAAAACAATTTCTATGAATTACGTTCCTTAACATTCGCTTGCTATGGCATTGCACATGCATAATTAAATATTGAGTTTTGAAAAGTTGTGAGGGAGAAACTGTCGAAGAGATGAAAGATCATAATGACATAGTGCGATGATCATTAACTGATTTTCGTTTACTATAAATATTTTATTCAGGAGTGGTCCGTATATTTTATTTATTTATTTATTCTAAATTCGGGACACATACAGGTAAAAGAACAGAAACAAGTATCCACTAAAATACAGATTGTGCTAACAAAACTGGCGTTCAACAGGTAAATGATCTAAATGCTTAATCTAAAACATAAATGATTAAAAATTGAATATTTTCCTTATGTTACTTTTATACATTTGTAAGGACATGGAGAAAACGTCCAAATTGGAACAGTATCTGTTGAATGAGTCTGTAATTCTATTTATTGGAGAGTTTTTCCCCACATTGGTGTTATATGTGGAAGTAGCTAATAAATATTTATTCCTTGTGTTTCTCTGGGGTACATGAAAAGACATCATTGCTATCAACTCAGGCGAGTCAATAAGATTCGTTAAAATTTTATAGCCAAACACTAGATCCGAAGTGATTCTCCGTTGTTCTAGAGGCTGAATGTTATAATAGTTACGAATTTGATTAATACCGTGAGTTACATAGACATTAGTGATTCGGTAATGAAGATGTCTAACAAACCTATTTTGCAGTCGTTCTAAACGCAATTTGAATGTATTATAGCAAGGATTCCATATAATGCTAGCGAAATTCAACTTGCTATGAACAAATGCATAATAGATAGTTTTAATAGCGGCTTCGTTGTTGAAGTCTCTGCACATTCTATTGAAGAAACCCAGTGTTCTGTTGCTACTATATATGACATATCCAACATGGCGATTGAAATTCAATTTTGTGTCAAAGTATACTCCAAGGTCCTTGATATATTCTACTCTATTTAATGTAATACTATTCAACAAATACTGAAACAATATGGGTGAATGATTTCTATGAAACGAAATACATGTACATTTTTCCACGTTGAGTTTCAGCTTATTCATATCACAATATATTACAAATCTAGCAAGATCTTCCTGAATTTTTAAACAGTCTCTTATGGAGGTAATTTTTTTAAATATTTTCAAGTCGTTTGCATATAACAAAATATTAGAATAAAGGAAACAAGACTATATGTCATTTATGAATACTAAAAACAACAGTGGACCCAGGTGTGAGCCCTGAGGTACCCCTGAGGTAACCACGAAGGGCGTCGACTTGAATCCATTGATGCTAACAAGTTGACTACGATTAAATACATAAGAGGACAGCTGAGAATTATAATATTACAAATATAATTTTCAAAATCTCGTCAATGACAAACAACAGTGTCCCGACATCACTACTTTAAATCTACCAAGTCTTCCATAGAAAAGACAGTCTGTTTCTTTTCACCAAACATTCTCATCATAGAATAATAAAAGCTGTATCAGATTTTATAAATGTACAACCTAATAAATAGAAGACTAAAAGTAGTAAACTATAAAAAAATCGAGAAATTTGGTATTTAGTGACAGATTAAATATACAATCTGTTAAATATACCAGAAAAATGAAAAGAATATCTAAAATTGACAGTGGATGATGAAGTAGACTATTATCTCCCGACAAATTCAAATCGTCGTCACCATGGTTACGTTTCTACTGCCAGCGGCACTAAAAGTGGCAACTTTTACAGTTGGCGACATCAAAAGTAATCACTACCAAGTAATATTCATTACTACACCAAAGGTTCCAAACAGTACATCATAACTACCAACTTTGATTGATTCATCTCAAGAACACTTTCCTTTTGAA